CCTCGTCCTGCCCACTGCTCCCTATATTGACGAATTTTGCGCGCAAGTCAAAGGGACTGGCAATACGAGGAGACAACGAGGACAGGTTATAGGATCGTTGCGATTAATTGCGCGAGTAGAGCAGTGTGTGGGCAGAGAAGGCAACATCGAGGCAGCGCAAGGAGTATAGTCGGGCAGGCGCATCATAAATAATAACATCGTATCTAATAGAGAAGCGGTAATGTCGCAGCTTAGTGATGCAACCTATATAATTCCTTAACAAGTCGTGCGTTTGATGTTGTTCTGCTACCTGCGCCAGCGTCGCCTACCTCGCCGTCAAGGAGTGCGGAGTTACAGATCGATTTTTTTATAAAACTTAACAAAATGACATATTACATGTAATTCTAATTCTAATCTTATCTTATCAAATACAAACAGTTAACTTAGTGGTGGTCAGGCGGATGTGTCCCCCATTGTACATGATTTATGCCTGGTGTATGGCAAGTTGGAGATCGGGTTAAAAGTGAAATCCCAACTATGGAATCCGAGCAACAAATCTGAGACCTCATGGTCGATAGCAAATATTTGACGTAACTAGCTTTCAGGAAACTTTATCAACATTTTTAAAGAAGGCTCATCTAGTTTAAATATCTTCAAAATGTAGATATGGAATTTGGCAATAACCTACATATGCTTATCAAAATTAAATTTTATTAGAATGAGTTCGATTTAGTAGTCAAGTATCTAAAAACTAAATGTGTGCTAATCGATTCTTAATGATCTTTGTAATTATTATTCAAGGTCAATGGACTAGCATACAAACTTAAATTGGAACAATTAATGAATTCTAACAGTGTATTGTTACCTAAATTAACAAAATATTCTTTCATTATATAAATGAAGTAATTAGTCTGACTTGTCGATACGGTTAATCGAGTGGCGGTAGATGTAAACCTGTTGTGTTGTGTTTTTTTACTCAGTAAGTCTTTTTTTTTGAGGCGGTCAAATCATCCAATGACTTCTCCCGCCCGGGTGAGGCGGGAGGGAGTGTCAGACTCTTACTGACTAAAAAACCACCCCGTTCCTACTCCTGCACTTCGAGCCGGAGCCCCAGCAACCCGTTAAGTCTTCCACGGCTCCGTATCGGCATCAGCCCTGTTGGGCCCCATCTGTGGTGGTCTGATAGCTCGGGCCTGGTTCTGGTTGGGCTGCGAGTCACCCGTGCTCGCCTTTCGCAAGCCCGTGCTTACGGTGGTCGGAGATCGTCTCGCGACTCAGTAAGAGTCTGACAGTCCCTCTCGTCTCATCTAATGCGTGTCCCCGGTTCAGGTAAAGTACCATTGAGTTTTTTACGGTTTTTTTTTAAAGTTACCAGTTATAACACTTTGCAAGGACTATATGACGTGAGTTAATGTGAGACTCAGAATGTAATCGCTAACGCTAACTAGGGCTTTGGTATTTAATAGGTACCGAAATATTTAACGAAAAACGTCGGTTGATAAACATGAAATGACTGTAAGATTTTACAATATAATAATAATTGTTATGATTGAAAAGAACACAGTCATTTTGTTAACCTTTATAAAACAATGAGCGCCTGTAATATATTTCGAGCAATCCGTCGATGGACGTTTTGTTTTCTAATTTATTAACGGATACTATTTTGACAGGAGTCTATAAGGAATTGACTTGACTGCACATTTGTCGCGGTGGTTGGGCAACCGACTGCCGCGCAATATGTCGCGGGTTGGATTCCCGCACGGAACAACGTTTGTGTGATCCACAGATTGTTGTTCTGGGTCTGGGTGTAATGTGTATGTGAAATTGTATGTTTGTAAACGCACCCACGACACGGGAGAAAATCCTAGAGTGGGGTAACGTTTATTTTTAAACAAACAAAGAATAATTAATTAATTTTCTGGACTATAAGTCAACTAGAACTCTAACTAAATTAAAGCTTTTCTAAAATAAAACCCATAGAATAAATCAAGTGTAGGCATTGAGTAGCAGCGCGATAGTCGCCGCGTCGCGGGTCGCAATGCTGCTCATGCATGCCTATAGCATGACTTGAAACTAGTCGAGTTCTTCGTCAAATAATTAATGAGTAAGCCGAAAAACATAAGTAATTTAGTAATTTAGTCTTACAAAGTTATAATATAAAGTGTAGACATGCTAACTTGCAATAAGTATATGATTTATGCGGTGTATGGACACAGATTTGCTTCATAATTATATTCATTATAGAAAGCACAATTTGAAATTAGCTTCTTTTTGATTTGGATCAGATCCTGAATTTCTGATTATTTTCGGTCAATAGCACTGGGTTAACCTAATATGTAGGTACTATCGATACAATTTATACAATAGGCAATGCTTAAAGTCTCTCTTAAGCGGGTTGCTATGATCAAAATAGTAGGCACTCATGTGATGGTTGGTTATTAAAAAACTATGTTAATATTGATAAATTATTATTATTGACATTTTTAAACAATAATAAATAATTATGGGGTGTTAGGTTTTTTAATACTTTAACTGCCAAGTTTAAAATGGTGAAAGTCAAACCTCCACTAGCGTCAGGCACCGGTGACTGACGTGGCGCTCTAAGGGTTAAGTAGCAATGTGAAGTTATTGACGAATATTTTATATTACGGATATAAATTTTTGTTTGATCACAATAACACTTTTTTTTAAGGGGGGAAAATCATCGAGTGGCTGCACCGGCCTGGGTGAGGCGAGAGGGAGTGTCAGAGTCTTACTGACTAAAAACCACCCCGTTCCTACTCTCCTACTCCTGCACTTCGAGCCGGAGCTCCGGTAACCCGTTAGGTTCTCCGCGATCGCGACGATAATAAGACTACCTACATGCTTTTCCTGTGCTGATTTATGAAATAAATAAAAAACTGTTTATCGTAATAGCGTTTTATTTGTCAATGGATTAATATTTGTACCTTTCTCATATAAGTAGTTGAAATACGTCCAGATGTGGGTAATAAATAACATTGTTATATCTAGAACACAGTCCTAACAAAATAATTTATATTTTTGTTTATATCTTATCCCATAAAAATATTATTTTTGTACATCACTGGCTTAAATAGCTAGTTGGTGGTCATAAAAATATTTCAGATTATTTTGCAAAGTATTATTTTTCTAGCATAATGTATCCATTATCAAGGTAAACTATACTGCAAACAAATATTTTTTTGTGCTTTGATTTGGCTAACTTACTATACTTAATTTTATATATATTTTGTAAAAAATGTATTTTGTCGCTATTAATTTATGTATTAATTATAACAAGGGCGACAAGGCGCGACATAACAGAGGTGCAAAGGCAATATACACACTTTTTACAATGGATCAAAGTTACACAAAATATTTTTTACAATGGATCAACATGGCACACAACATTTTTATCAAAGGATCAACATAACACACAACATTTTTACAATGGATCAATATGGCACACAACATTTTTACAGTGGATCAACATTGCACACAACATTTTTTACAATGGATCAACATTGCACATTTTTTTTATTCTTTCGGTTCACCACATTTCACACGCACAGATATAAACAGACAGACATTCGAGAAAATATTTAATAAGCTTAACAGGCTAAAGATTATGTATAAACACGACTGAAGTCGTAAATTTTTCTATAACAAGTTAACCTTTTTCGAGTACTTAATTGCCTTCGAAAATATTTTAACCCCTTTTCATGTACCAATTTTATCCCCGAAACACGTGGGCAGACGTGCACATTACGGCACTTAATGCCACTGTACAATGTAACACCCACTTTTCACTATTTATGTTATGAGTCCCATGTAATAGAGGATGAGCCTATTGCTATATTATACTGTGCACAGTTCCAGACCCCGTGAATTTTTGTTTTAACCCATTCAATTAAAAACGACGAGCTGGCTGAGTTGAGTTGGCTGAGTGGCTCTGCACTCAGCCAACGAGAGCCGTCTCGTTGGATTGAGTTAATATCATGCAAAAAATTAAAACAGTTATACATATCTTAAATGCGAAATAAATACCATTTTTGACATACGTTGTTTAGAATAAAAAACAATTTAAACATCATTCGTAAAAATACATCGCATAAAATAACTTTTGTGCGTCATACATAACATTCATGAGGACAATAATTAATATATTAAAAAATGAGTAAAACAAATATAATTAATGTATTTTATTGCTATCTAAGACTCAGTAATAGAATATACAACTGTGCTTAAAGTTTTGACTGAAATTACTTCAATAAATACATGGATCGATAGTTTGTGCTTACATATTTTTGGTAAATAGCATCATAGCTTTAAGAAATAATTCTCTGTCTTTCTCATAGCGATACGATACACAAGATTATTTTATTGCATACTTTAACTTATTTTTGTAGAACTTGAAATTTCAATTGGTTTAAGTGATCGATATGGTCGCAAATCTATGCTAAGTTCCTCTCTGTTTTCTGTGATTCTTGGTCTAAAACCCTTTATGGAAGACCAACCCAAGTTTTACTAAGGTAATAATAATTGTACCAATGTAATTTTGAATCACTCGACTTGGGACATTGAAGTAATTGTTTTGTCGTGAAAAAGTGTCGTTCTAATCTCTACTCTTAAAATGTCTACTGAAAAACAACGCCATCTATGTTACAATTACGTAGAACATACACCATAATTATATACGATTTGTGATAGACGTTCAAGATCAATTGAAATTTCAAGTTTCATTAACACAATGGTACTATTGTATTTGTGCCACTGTATTAGTCAACGGTACCAATATGATACCATGTACTCAACTGTAAGACTCAGGCCGCACTAGATCAGAATCGCAGCGGTTTTTTACCGCAAAAATTTTAATGTATTATGGAAAAAATTCAAAATGCAGGGGACAAAGTCGTAAGTGCGGTCGTTCGAACAAAATTACGCGGTAATTAACCGCTGCTGTCCCGTATTAGTGGGGTCAGGGTCTAAAACAATATTTACTATAACCACAACCTTTTTACTTAAGCATTGGTTTTCCGATGTTTGACTTTAGATAATCTCTCGGCTTCCTCAATGGAGTCTGGTAGGGGCATGTTGATGGTCTCTGGCATCGTGAAGACTAGCATAGTAGCGATGATGGTCATCGTGCCAAAGAATATTGATGGCAAGCTTTCGTAGTACAAAGCCTGTGAATTAAATCGTAACGTGAGAATGTAGTAGAAGATAGAAAATTAACTCGTTGAGTACCGTCATTATAGACACAATTAAAGAACAACAGGTTGCGGTCACCGGTGTCCTCGCGGTGTTTGACAGTTTAAGGGGAATTACCATAAAGATATTGATCTGGTGAATAATGTAAAAAACCTTGAAATTCCCAAACCTCAGCATTATTATATTCTATCAGATAAGTCAGTATCTGATAAAAGAGTATATCCAATGTATCCAATAAAATGTAATTACCCTACCATTAGTTCAGTAACCAATCAACTGTCAGAAGTTAAAGAAAATAATAATATTGTTGTGTTTTTATAATAACTATCGTGAGACATACTAAATTAACTAAAAATCGCGGGTTACTCACGTGAATGTACTGAGAAAAGCTCTAATAGCTTCGAACCATAGAGGGGTGCGAGGAAGACCTCATGAGCATGTGGCACAGCTGCTATCGCACTGTCTAGCATCAGGCTTTTGTCAATTTATTCATGTGAATAACCCGCTATTTATAGTTAATTAAATTGTTAACTAAAATAGAGCACTTACCAACAATGGAGTTAAAGGTGCTAATGTGGATCCAATTCTTCCAGTCGACGAACAGGTGGCTAAGAGCGATTGTCTCACGTTTGTAGGGAAGACCTCAGATACATAAATATAGACGGAACTGTAAGCCACCGTGATGGAGAACTTTCCGGCCAGGTAGAAGCCCAAAGACAAATAGGTTTGATCTGTTATACAAAACAAAATCATAATGAATACAGTGGAATACGCGACACTATTCTTACACAGAAAGAAATATTTCATTCACAAGAAAATTGTGTAAATAAATAAATTAGTGAAAAAAGCTAAAACATGGTTTTAGTCTACTATGTCCTCGTCATCAGGAGAAATAGAGCTAAATAATAGGTCCAAAATCGGTATGTTTACTAGCTAGCAATCCAAGGTTCCATCAGTCACCTTCCAATTCCCTCATCAAATTACCTCCATAGTACCATAACATTGCATGGCCATCTATTCTATAAACAATTGGGTAGGTACTTGCCAACTAGTCAAATTCAATACTTTTTTCGAAAAACAAGTGATTTTTTTTCTTCGAATTTTATAGTTAGTTTCTTTGAATTTTATACGAGATCGTATAAAATTGTTGTGTATCGTGACGTCACGATTTTAAGCGCCAAACAGTATACTTATTTCTTAAAAAATTGCCGGAAAAATACTAAAATTAATTTGCCCATAAGATCAATTATTGAGTATGACTATTTTTAATATTTTATTGTATTGAACAGTCGAAATAATTCATTTTTAATTAAGGAAAGTACCTAATTACCAAGCAAGATGATACAATAATTAGAAGTGTATGATGAAGATGATTAATAGACGACTATGACTTTGATTCAGATTAAATACGATTCCATTACAAAGTCGACCCAACAAAAACGCTTTAAAACGATTGAAGTAATCTTATAAACTTTACCGTAGGAGTCCTCTAGTTGGAAGCCAGTAATATACTTTGGATCTCACTTGAAAACTCTGTCTGAACTGACGTCATATAATTATTATGTCCCGTTTATGTTGTCGTCGTTGTGCTTAGTTGTAGGCCTTTAGGCCGTCACTAGGAAAGTTTCGTAAGCGTCATAAAGTTGATGGGACCACTTGCGAGATGACATCACAAAAGTTATTTTACTGTTATAAATAAAGAGGTCTGTAATGAGCGGGAGAGAGGAGGAATGTAATAAAGGTTTCTCAAAAAACGAACATTTTGTTTACGCAAAATTTATAATTCGTTTTCTCATTGAAATTCTATAATTTAAAATCAGACAAGCTTTCAATTTAATCCGTAAATAAACACTAGATTATCAACCTTCACTAACACAAATCAAAGATCATGATAATTACTTCTCGATTCCTAAAATCGAAAACCGAATTATTCGCTCGAATGTTTACAAAATAAACGATTTCGAAAACGCTAACTTTGATAAAACCACGAAAATTATTTATGTTTTACAATTGCCGTTTGCGTCGTCGGCTTTGAAATCGGTTTAACTTGAATATTCCATTAATTCAGGCTGTTATACAAGCAGTGATTACTAAATAAACAGTGCTAGAGCAAAATTCTCTCAAAACTCCCGGCTGAGTTGGTTTCCACTATCCTACGTTTGTCGGGTCTGCGAACTTTGAACCTAGAACGTTCGTTGGCTGAGTAAAATTAAATGTTGAATATAACGTTGTTAGGCCATCTACTCGACACTTCGATCGATCGCTGTAACAAGAATTCCTTGGAAGATATTGCCATAAACTAGGACCCTTACTCCATATTGCTTGCTTCCCACTACACAATAGATCCGGTAAAATAACTTGACGAAATACAATGGGAACAGCTTACGCCTCGTAAACTGTTACAGGATTATCTAACTCGCCTTTTGTTCCCGCCAAATTATGTTTGTTCGTTTGATTGTAAACGAAGTAATTGTGAACACAAACTACAACTCGTTTGGTTATAAAATTCTCGTTAATGCTATGTTTGCACGGATAAGAACAAAATTTGTTTGTTGCTTGTCGGATTGAAATCTAATTTTTGAACCTACTTTGTTTGCTACTGCAAATGTGACATAGAATTTTTAAAAGAAAATTTCATCTGTTTTATTTTTCCAATGGAAATGAATTGTACTCACCTTTAGGTAAGAATGTTAGGCTGATACATAGAATGGCACTTAAAATGTACATTATAATCAAGACCCTCTTCCTTCCAAATTTATCCAGCACAAGAAGGCAGGTGAAGTTGGCTGGAATTTCAATGAAGGCGACGAGCATGAAGTTGACGTACTTATTCCCTGCCAGGGATACAGAGTTAATTGACAGCCCATAATACACAAACGTACAAGTGATCCATAAAAAGGAACACGTCAACAATCTCCTTCTAATAATACTTGATTTCATCGCTTGTACAAATACTGATTTCTTTGGCTCGCCGTCCACTTCATTTTTTTCTTCGGTTGGTTTCGCTTCTATTTTCTGAAGAGGAGCTAGAGTCTGGTCTGATATTTGAACATTATTCATTTTAGCTGCCCTTTTGATGACTTTCAAAGCCTGTTCATGGCGACCTTTACTGATCAGCCATCTGATACTTTCATTTAAGATCCACAGGTAGGTAAATACGAAGCAAGATGGTAGGTATATAATTTTGAGAAGTTTCCTCCAGTCCTGCAGTATCCAGGACAACCCAGCGAGAGACATTAAACCAAAGACATAAAATGTGTTTAGCATTGTGTTACCAAACACTCTTCCTTTAGGTCCTACTAGTTCCATAGCTGTAAAAGATTTATTCGTTAATAAAAAAGTTATTAAGGAAATATTATGGAGCATATTAAAACAAATGGTTGTCAAGTAATTGGTGTGCGAGTTGTGACACCATGTTTTGTGACTAGAACCGGAATAGACTAGGCGTAGAAAAATGTGGTCACACCAAAATATTAGTTTAACCATACGACTACGGAGAGAATAAGGTATTGCAATTTTAAAGATCGAAATAATCGTTTATTAATTTCATCTTACTATCTACTTAGTCTTTGATTGCTATTAGAAAACTGTTGAAGGCAAATGTTCCACTAACATGATATTTACCATGTTAATGAGGGTAATAAAGTGACTAAACATATTAAGATTTTGCTCGCAATACATGCTTACCTATAACAAAGGACGTTGTATAGGCTCCGGCTCCCAACCCAGCTTCCAGGAACTCCAAAACCAGAAACATCACATAATTGGTAGAAAATGATCTTGAGAACCCAAATATACAGTTCATAAGAGCTGCAAAAGACAGAGCCTTTTTCCTTCCAAATTTATCTGAAATGATTCCAGTCATAGGAAGGGAGATGAAGAGGCCAGAGTTGTGGATAGTCCCAACTAAAGTCCTCTTCCAATTTTGGCATCCAAGGTCGAACTGAAACAAAAACATTTGATCGATTTGATTTGACTGCACGGTTGGTGCGGTGGCTGGGCAACCGGCTGCCGTGCAACGTGTCGCGGGTTCGATTCCCGCACGGGACAACACTTTGTGTGATCCACAAATTGTTGTTTCGGGTCTGGGTGTCATTGTGTATGTGAACTTGTATGTTTGTAAACGCACCCACGACACAGGAGAAAATCCTAGTGTGGGGCAACGCTTTTATAAAAAAAAAATCAAAAGCCTTAGTATGAGTTTCATTTACGTTTAAAGTATTCGAAACGAGTACGCGTTCGGCACTCTGATTGGCCGGCGCCAATGAACCAACCAATCTGAGGGCCGAGCACAAAGAAATAGGGTAGACGACTAATTTTTATTTTAATGTCCGTCTGGTAGATTATTTAAAAACATTAGACACGTATTTTTTATTTTCTCACAGAAACGAATAGTTTCGAAGATATATTGATTTGAAATGTCGCGTGACGTCACTTCTCAGTACTTTTTATACTAAGAAATGACGTTTTAGCCCCCACTCCTAAACTTTGATTCGTTTTATCTAAGTATTGTTTTATTATACGACAAAATAAAAAAAATACGTGTCTAATATTTTTCATTACCTAACTTACGGACTAATTATATTTTTAATTTTCATACCCATCATCCCCATTATCGCATTCGTATCGTAACAGTATCGAGCGAGTTAAGCGTTCTGATTGGTTGGTTCACTTGAGCCGGCCAATCAGAGCGCCGAACGCACTCGATACTATTACGTTACGAATGCGATAGTTATTCGTGCTAAGTACTCAGAGCGCCGAACGCGTACTCGTTACGATTACTTTTTACGTAAGACAAACTTGTATTAAGGCCTCTGGTATTTTTTAATACTGCTTCTGTTATTTCTTACAAGGGTGGATAATGAAAGTATGAAACATAATTTCAAATATTCTCCTATCTTTTCTTTAAAAAAAAGTTGCCTCAGACTAGTCTAAGGACCTAGTCTTATGTCTAAGGACCTTTGTACTTATACGACTAATTTTTTGGGATACTATTGTAACACAGAGATAGTTTTTTTTTGGTTTTGTTCCTTTATGTGTATGGAAACACTGATGCATTGTATTGCATTGACTATACATATTAAACTAGGATTTTTTTTTGTGTATGGGTCATGGGTCACAAACTCCTAATTCCCAAAAGGCCGGTAACGCACTTGTAACGCCTCTGGTGTTCCAGGTATCCATGGGCGACGCTGATTGCTTACCATCAGGTGATCCGTCTGCTAGTTTACCGGCTTATGCCGTAAAAAATATATTTATACTGAGAAAAGCTCTATTAGTTTCGAACCACAGGGGGGTTCTTCCTCATAAGCAGCGTGCGCGACCGCGAAGATGGACAAATCGTGGTAGCTCGGAGATTTAAAAGATACCCGCTTCTCATACATGAATGTGCCGGTTCGAAACCTGGCAAGTAACTATGTAAGTTTTTCCGAGTTATATGTACTTTCTAACATTATTTAGACACCACTGACAAACGGTGAAGAAAACATCGTAAAAACAACATTCAATTGAAATTTTATTGATGTTTCATTAGATACTCAATTATTATTTTATTTATAAGAATTTAAATTAAATAAAGATATACAAATTAAATTAGAAATAATTGAAAACTAAAATATTTACACTTTAAAAAAAATATTTATTTATTTATTTATTTATTTATTTATTTATTTATTTATTTATTTATTTATTTATTTATTTATTTATTTATTTATTTATTTATTTATTTATTTATTTATTTATTTATTTATTTATTACACACACAAGTTAACATTACAGGTTTAGGACCCAATGCGATAACAAGGTATTATTAAATCTAGCGACTACTTACACCATATTAAACTTATACTAACGAATAAAGTAATCCAAACAATTACAGAGAAATGTTATCTTAAGGCATCTAAGAAAAAATTTTCCTCATCGCTATCATGAGGTAGGGTGCCCAGAAATAATAATACACTATACACATATATTATTATTTAAGTCACCTTTTAGTTGAATTGTGAATACAGTACAATAATCAATTGACCCAACTATGACTTAAGCTTTTTTATCACCTTATTTTTCGTGCCAAAATAGGTAGATAAACTATCGTATAGTACACAAATCACGTCACAGTTATCTATTAACAATCTAACAGTTCTTTCAATATGGTGTGATCATCATACGATATCCACAAAATCCGGGTCAATAATACACAAATATGTAAAGTCATTATCAGGCGACACTCCCTCCTATCAATGAATGTATAAAGCTATAAAATAATAACCAATTTATCAAGGTTTCGCTTTGTATGGCCTTTCCGCGCATTCGAAGATCAATTTATACTAGTTTTGTATAGATAGACGTGTAGTCGTCTGCACATTCATCTCACACGTGCTTCTCAAAAATAAAATTAAGATAAACGATGTCCGGACACATTATCAGGTTATAGTTGTTAGTAGACATTATCTGGCGCCCAACAGCGTCCGTTGCGTGATTGAGCTACATGCATTTTTCAAATAGGGTAGTATACCTACTAAATTTTATATCTACAAGAAGTCTATACTAAGTCCGCCATTGTATATCTACAAGAAGAGTAAATAAAAAAAAAATAAAAAAAAATCTTTTAGTGTTCGTCTGGTAGATTATTATAAAACATTACACACTATTTTTATTTTCTTATAAAATCAAATAGTTTCGACGATATATTGGTTTGAAATGTCGTGTGACGTCACGATTTACTACATTTTATTGGGTAGCGTGACGTAACGACCTCCCACTCCTAAACTTAATTCGTTTCATCTAAGTATTGTTTTCTTATACGACCACACAAAACAATATGTGTCTAATAGTTTTTCATTACCTAACTGACGAACTCATTAAATTTTGAATTTTCATACACTTATGCCATTATACTATCGGTACAGTAGTATGAAGACCAGCTGTTTTACAACGTAGTACGAGTTTATTTTTGTTTCTTTTTAGTTTTCTGACAAACTACAAGTCTATCTAGATTCTAGTACCCCGATTATTGATATCAAATGGAAAACTTCAAAATTCTATAAACCAGACTCTGCTATTTCCAAGAAACTCCGAAAAATCCCCAAAAATACTTTGTCTGATCCAGAAATCGAACGTGGTATTTCGTCCTTGGTAGTAGCACTTGTAGCCACTTGCCCATCATCAGGTGTCAAGGTGTCTAGTATTATTCTAACATTAAGTTACTGTCTTTTTCTAAATATTTCTAGGTCCGAGACACTTGTCATTTTATTTTACTTTTTGTGGTTTTAGTTTAGCAAAGTTAAAATTCTCGCAGCAGGCCCAAAAGGAGATGGCGGAACGAACTAGACATCTATGACAAGGATTGGTCGCAAACATTTTTACATAGAGGAGTGGAAGGAGGCTTTTGCCCTGCAGTGAGAAGATCATGGCAGATCAATAGCTTCACTTGTAATTTTCTTTTTGTTGACGTTCAAAAGTGCCATTCTGGCCTAATTGAAATAAATGATTTTGACTTTGACTTTGACTGAAAATATTTTTATTTTTGGGATATTTCGGTGAACGATTGGATGGATCACCTGATGGTAAGCAATCAGCGTCGCCCATTGACACCTGGAGCATAAGAGGCATTACAAGTGCGTTACCGGTCTATTGTTTTGATTTTTTTAACAAGTTTTGATTGTTGGGGGTTTGGGGATTGGAGAATTGGGGGATAATTGAGCCTCCTCACACGTAGAACCTTACTCACACGACGAAACACAACGCAAGTGTTCGTTCACGTCCGTATTCTGTGAGGCCGTGGTATCACGCCGGTCGAGCCGGCCCGTTCGTAACGAAGCATGGCTCTTCCACACTTTCAAAATAACTAGTTCAAGTAATACTCACATCTTTCACAATCGAGTCTTCATCGCTGTACACAAAAGAAGAACACTTCTCTTTTAAGTTAGTATTGAAAGCATCAGCCGTACAACTATTTGTTGTAGATGCGTATTGGAAACATTTCGAGTGTTTACCCTTCTCTATAGGTATCGCATAGTCTAACCATAAGCTGACGTTGTTTATACTCTCGCATTGTTTTACTTCACATCTGAAACAAAAGAAAGAATATTTGAATATTAAGTGCTGTATAAATTCGAATGAGAGATTAAACATAACTTTTAATTATTTTTTAAAAAAACTTTGCCCCACACTAGGATTTTCTCCTGTGTCGTGTGTGCGTTTACAAACATATAACTTCACATACACATGACACCCAGACCCGGAACAACAATCTGTGGATCACACAAAGAACGTGCGGGAATCGAACCCGCGACACGTTGCGCGGCAGCCAGTTGCTCAGCCACCGCGCCAACCGTGCAGTCAACATAATATCACGCCTTTTATCCCCGAAGTGGTAGGCACTCAATGCCACTGTACAAAGTAACACCCACTTTTCACTATTTATGTTATGAGTCCCATATAATAGGGGGTGAGCCTATTGCCATATACCGGGCACATTTCCAGACTTGTGCTACAATTAAGATTTTTTTAAAAACCCAGTGATACTTTGCCTGACTCGGGAATCGAACCCGAGACCCCTTGCGTATCATTTGTATTCATGTTAATCATCATGTAAAATATGTAATAACTTAATGTATAATTATAGGATTAAATGGTTGATTACTAAAGTAATCGATTGCCCCAATACAGTAGATAATCATCGTTGATTCAAACCTAGATGGGGCGATTACCGATTGAGTAATCAATCAGAATCGGATCGTTGATTCCGATCAACGATGGGAATCGATTGATCATTAAAGTTGGATTATGAAAATCCATTAAAACAAAATGAATTTGTTGTAAATTGTATTATAACTGTTGCGCTGCTACTGGTCAGTCGCCGCGTCGCAGGTCGCGAAATGCTGCTCATGAATATGAGCCTCTAGCATGGCTTGAAATTAGTCGAGTTCCTTGTCAAATAATTACATGAGTAAGCCGAAAACATATTAATTTATTGTTGTAAATTGATGTTATTAGATTATTATGTTAAGTTCTATACTTATTTATGCACTGGAATTCATTATTGGATTACAATGAAGGCTTTTCCAATTCACATCGAGTATTTCCAAAAAATGTCGAAGAATGTGATTAAAATTATATTATAGAATATTATGGTGCAGTCATTTAAAAACTAATAGGTATGTGGATGTGGAAGTATCCACAATAAATTTTTCATCGATTCATTTTTATTTATACATTACATTACGCCTTTTCTCCCGAAGGGATAGGCAGAGGTAGACACTACGGTACTTAAAACCACTGTACAATCTAACACCCAATGTTTCATTTACACAGATGCATTATATTCCAAACTTACAGTTTCAATATACTTTTTTTTCATCTGCACCCTGTATGTTAAAAGTAAAAAGTCTATTACATACATAATAATATATATAAAACCCACGCCTGTCTCCCATGGGGGTAGACAGAGACTGTGGAACGCCAGATGCTACAATTCTTACATAATTACCTCTTTCGCTTCATCATCTGCAGTGTTTTCACGCATGCTTAAGGGTTATACACATTACGCATGCTTATTGCACGGTTAAGGGTACTTTTAATTTCGCCCTTATTTAACAGGTTCATTGCCGGAATCCCCGCGCGGAGTTGGCGGGAAATTCGTAACAGTGCCGCCGACTCCGCGCGGGGGTGCCAACCCGTTACGTTTCTAAGCGCCAGTTTGCCGCCGGCATCGTAGGTGAGCGGTCGTTTCGCGGTCGGCGTGGGCCTATAGTGTAGGGTACATCGTAAAATAATTTTGGTTTTTGAATTGTTTATTTTTTGTGAGAGTCATGGACGCTCAAACTCCGTGTTCATCATTTGGCAAACAGCGACGTAAACGTCGTCTTGTCTTTGTTTCTTCTCCGGATACATCAGAAAATGAAGAAACTGCGACGACTTTGACACGTTCTAAGTATACATCACGAACAGAAATATTAGAAAATGAAGAATCTGCGAGTTCTAGCTTGCCCCATACATTTCGAAGAAAAAATACTGTTATTCAAGATTCTGAGGTCACAGAAATACTTGAACATATTGACTCTGACTTTAGCGCCTCGTCTTCCGATAACTATCAACCAGGGTCAACTGGTTCGTCGTCTTCAGACTCTGAAAATACAGCCATTGAAGATGATCAAGCCGAGTGCTCTACCGCAGAAGACGAACAACCTCAATCGTCAGCGCCTCTCCAAGTTGAGCAGGATTTGGCATCACTAAACGCTCCTGGGCTGTATCAACGGTATAGAGGACGTGATAGACCGTCTGTACCTTGGTCAACAATAAATGAAGGTATGAAAACTTTCGATTTCACGGAAAACGTCGGTTTGAAAGTGCCTATATCTAGTGAATCAAAACCAATAGATTTTGTGAGTTTATTTCTTGATGATGAATTCTTGACATATATCGTTCAAGAAACTAATAAGCATGCTGTTGACGTTTTGGCGAAGCCAGGAGTCAGGCTAAAATCAAGAATAACGGACTGGAAAGACACAAATGTCGCGGAGATGAAGGTATTTCTTGGCTTAATTTTGCATATGGGCATTATACGTCTTAATCGTTTGACAGACTACTGGAAAACAGATCGATTATTGAACATTCCAATTTTCCGACAGTATATGTCACGCAACAGGTTTTTGTTGCTGTTTAGATGCTTGCATTTTTCCAACTCATCAACAGGGGGATTGAACAAAGTCGAGGAATTAATCGAACGTTTTAATAACAAGATGGAGTATCTAATATGCGCTCAGAAAGAATTGTCACTAGATGAGAGCATGATTCTCTACAGAGGTCGTCTATTTTTTAGACAATATATAAAAAACAAGAGACATAAATATGGAATGAAGCTGTACATGCTCACAGAACCCGATGGCCTCGTTCTAAGACTGCATCTGTATGGAGGTTCGGCTGATATAACAAGTGGAAAAGGGCACACAGAAAAGGTGGTTCTACACCTATTGAAAGATTTCCTAGGAAAAGGGCATTCCATTTATATGGATAATTTTTACAACGGGTATAATTTAGCCGCGAAGTTGTTATCTCACAAGACTTTATGCACAGGAACTCTGAGAAAAAAACGTGAATGCAATCCAGACATCGTCAGTAGTAAGATGAAAAAGGGAGAGAATAAATCTGTCTTTCATAATGGCATTCACATTGGCTGTTACAGAGATAAACGTTACATTCCTTACATATCGACAGAACACGACGATGAAATGATTACAGTAACCAATAAAAGGGGAATCTCGAAAGAGAAACCAAAAGCTTTAGCTTTTTATAATCAGTTTATGTCTGGCATTGATAGGCAAGATCAAATGTTGTCGTACTATCCATGCGAAAGAAAAACGCTACGATGGTACAAAAAATTTTTTATACATGTGTTTCAAATACAGATTTTGAATGCCTACATTTTATATAACAGATTTTCTGGGAAACGCTTGAATATGTACGACTTCAGAATGTCTCTAATAAATGAGTTACTACCGCCAAAAGTTTCTTCAGTTTCAACTGGTTCACTGGTTCCCACTCGTTTAGAACGTGTTCACAAACTAACTAAAATAGAAAACAAAACCGAAGAAACTAAAAAAGATGCGCCAGGACATGTTCGAAAAACGAATAGAATAAAACGGAAAGTTTGTCGGCAATGTACCGCTGTAAAAAAAATTCGTAAACAAACTCGCTACCACTGTGTTTTATGCCCAGAGCAGCCGGGCCTTTGTGATCAGGAGTGTTTCGATGCATATCATGCTAGTTTGAATTAAATTTTATGATAAGTTTTGTAACTTTTGATTTGTTTAAATGTTCTGATTATTTTTTTCTAACTGTATAATAATGGACACTGAAAAAGGTTTTATGTTCCTAATTGTTGATTTTCTCAATTATAATATAATTACTAAGAATACAAATGTTCTTTAAACCTCTTATTTTAAAATAAAAGCATTCCGTAAGAACGTGTCGTATGTTTCATTTCAAAACTGATCTCAAAATGTATTCTTCAGTGCCGAGCGACTCCGCGAGGAGTCGACTCCGCGTGGAGTTTCATGGCACCATGCCCATGAAAATCTTTGCGCCCTGCCGACGACTCCGCGTGGGTACTTGTATATATATATAGCTTATATACATACCATAAGCTCTGTAACAACATTTTTACTTCTTTTAATTGAATTAAAGCATATTTTTGTAAAAAACAGTTATTGGCATTGCGGATATATTTTTTTTTGTATGAAGCAAATTTCCGGCAATCAACCTGTTAATATATCGCGTATCTGGTCGATATGTCTGTCTAGCCCTCTAGACAGCGCTCCCTCTACGGACGGCCCCATTCATATCCAATCTGTATACTTCCCATGTTTAAAATTGTTGATAGTTTATAGTTTGAAATATTATATTATGTAAAATTAAATTCCCAAATGGATTTGATCGTTAAAATTACCCTGCATCAATTTTGTTTACAAAGCTATGCAAACTGGTGGTTAATTAATATTTGCTTTCAAATATCGGTTGATTACGATCATAGATAATTTTGAATTCCGTATTGGTATAGACTATTTTATCACAGATACTATTTTTTACAAGTTACGTACCTGTGTAGTTTTTTTAAACTACAAAACTTATTATAGCAAGTGTTGACGGGAAGAAAAGAATAGTTCAACATAATTAAGTGTCATGCTTCGGAAAGATTGGGCCGGCTCTATTTTTATGGTTTCTGCACAAAAACGTATTTATTTACATTTTTTTATGGTTTAAGCTGATAAACGAGTGGACGGATCACCTGATGGTAAGCAATCGGCGTCGCCCATGGACACCTGGAATACCAGAAGCATTACAAGTGCGTTACCAGCCTTTTAGGGTTTAGGAATTTGAGGGTTGTTGAGGATTCGAGGATTGGGGGGATAATTGGCGACAGAACACAACGCTAGTAGTTTCACGACGGTTTTCTGTGAGACCGTGATATCACTCCGGTCGAGCCGATCCATTCATTCCGAAGCATGGCTCTCCCACACATTAATTAGTGTAACAGAAGAATTAACACTCAGTTATAATCTACGAGTC